CGGGATTGGTGCCACCCCCCCTGTCCTCAGCCCAGCCCTGTCCCCAGGGGTCCCGCGGGCTCCAGCCTCCGGGGATGGGTGTCCAGCGGGCAGCTGGTTCCTCCCTCGCCTTCATCCTTCAGTTCCTGACGATTCCCGGCCCCGGGTGGGAGTTGGCGAGGAGCAGGACTTGATGTTTTCTCCCCCATTTTAGCAAACATGTCCTGACCGAAGACATCGTGCACCGGGAGGTGACGCCGGACCACAAGCTGCTCTCTCGGCGGCTCCTGACCAAGACCAACCGGATGCCGCGCTGGGCAGAGCGCTTCTTCCCAGCCAATGTCGCCCACTCCGTCTACATCCTGGAGGACTCTATCGTGGACCCCAAGAACCGAACCATGACCACATTCACCTGGAACATCAACCACGCTCGTCTCATGGTAGGTGCTGCTGCTGGGCGGGTGTGTGGGGGCTGGAGGGGACACAGCAGTGCCCACGGCTGGGCTGTGCCTCGTGCAGGTGGTGGAGGAGCGCTGCGAGTACCGGGTGAACCCTGAGAACAGCAACTGGACCGAGGTCAAGCGGGAAGCCTGGGTATCTTCCAGCCTATTTGGCTTCTCGCGGGCCATCCAGGTGAGCTCAAGCAGTAAAGCCGCTGCTCATCCCTGCTCTACCCTTTCCTTGTGCTGGTTTTTACACCCTTTCCCTTCATTCTCCCCCACCATCCTCATGAGCTCTTAAGGCATCCAGAAGCATCACTGTGAAAGTCACTGTGACTTTTCAAGCTGGGACAAAGCCCCAGGGGCTGTGTGTGACAGGGCTCGCACCTTCACTGATTTTTCTCTTGCAGGAGTTTGGTTTGGCCAGGTTCAAAAGCAACGTGACCAAGAGCACTAAGGGATTTGAATACGTGCTAGCAAGAATGCAAGGTGGGCACCAAGGGCAGGCTGGGGCTGACCGGGACGGGTCTCTTGGAGTTAGAGGTCACACTGGGAACACTCCAGTCCACGGGCAGGTTGTGGTTTGAACTGATCTGACTGTGAAATCCTCACCCCTTGCCTTTGCCCTGTATCTTGGCACAGCCCGCTCTTCCCGAGTGGAGCAGGCCAGCAGTGATTGCAGGGCCGGGCGAGGGTGGAGCAGGCAGGAGGGGATGGAACATGGCAACAGCCACGTGCCTGTGGTTCCCCTTTGCGACCTGCCTTGACGTGCCCTGACGTGCTGGGGTCAGGAACGCCGGGCTCATCTTCCTCCCTGTGTGGGGAAGTGCCTCGGTGGCGGGGCTGGTCTAGCCGGCACTCCTGTGGGGTTAATGGCTTCCATGTTGTAGGAGAAGCTCCATCCAAAACACTGGTGGAGACAGCCAAGGAAGCGACCGAGAAAGCCAAGGAAACAGCTCTGGCTGCTACGGAGAAAGCCAAGGACCTGGCGAGCAAGGCAGCCACCAAGAAGAAGCAGTATGTGTGAGGGGCCAGCTGCACCAGGACAGATAGGAGACTCCTTAGATTTTATATTTTTAAAGAAACTGTGTAAGTCTGACAATCAGCTGCTGTTTGACCCTTTCTGAGATGTAATTATCATTAAAGAATCTACTCCCACCTCTGATTTGGCTGAGACTGGCCTGGCTAGAGCTGAGCCCAGCGCTGCTCTCCGCTCTGGGGGTCCAGCACTCTGTAGAGAAGACACAGGCCAGGGTTTTACCAAGTGCCTTTACTATAAAGTGTTGGGTCTGTACAAGAGAGCAGGGTGGCTGCAGGAGCATAAAGACAGGTGGCTTAATGCGCTCATTTCCCCTTTCTGGCACTCCAGGGGCAGGAGACCCTTCCTGTAGTCGTGTCTGCAGTGGGCAGCACCACCCCATACCCACACCAGAGAGTTCCCAAACTGCCTGGGGGTGTACAGGGGGAGGCAGGAGGGTGTCCTCGGTGACAGCTGGGCCTTCTTCCAGCACCTCTTCCAGTGCCTTGTGGTGCACAGCAGCTGCCACCGTGCAGTGCAAGCCCCATGCACCCAGTGCCACAGCCAGCGCCACCCAGCTGAGGGGGGTAAAGCCGGACTCTTGCCCCCACCTATGGCCCCTTACCCTGGCAGCTGTGATGAGGCTGGCCGAGGCCGGGTTTCCAGCAGGAAGGAAGCAGGCAGGCAGTGCAGAGAAGGCAGTGGGTGCTGTCAGGATGCGGGGCTGTGGGGGCTGGAGTAGCTGTGGTCCCTCCCGGTGCCAAAGCTGGCCAGCAGGTCCTCGCTGAACATCACACCATCTACCTCTACCTCGGCATCCTCTGGGCAACGGTGGAGGCAGGGTCAGGCCCTTGGCTGCTTCCTCTCCCTGCCCACTCTCGTTCTTTCCCCTTTCTTACCTTCCTCGGAGGGCTCTGAGAGCTGGGACGAGTCCAGGCTGTCGGCCCGTGCCCGTTCCACGTCAGTGGGCAAGAGCAGCAATTCCAGGCGCCGCTGCAGGCTCCGCTGCCGGTCCCGCAGCCGGTCCTTGGCCCTTCGTGCCCTCAGTTCCTGCTCCTCCAGCCTCTGGGGACCCGGTGAGCCGTGAGCGGGACGCGAGCCGGGCGGCCCTGGTGCCACACAGCACCTCCCGAGGATGCCGGAGCCACCACCCCCCTCACCTGGATGTGGAGCCGGGCACGGTGCAGGAGGCTCAGCGTGGTAGAACGGGACGGGCCCGCGCCCACCGGTACCTGCTGCTTGAGCCGCTCCAGGCAGCACCGGAGCTGGGCTCTCCTGCGGCCGGGCAGGGGGGGAACGACACGGGGGTGTCAGC